CAAGTGTTTGTCTTCAGTTCCACTGATCCTGTCTTCCACCATTTCAGATCTGCTCCTCAGCCCTTCTAAGACACTGTCCATTTCGGAAATCTTGTTTCTCTTTTGGATTTCTAATTATTGTTTTTATGTAATTTCTAGTTGTGAATTTATTTTGGCATTTTGTTCCTGCATTATTTTCCTGAATTCTTCCATTTTTTTGTCTGTATTTTCCATGAATTTGTCTGCCTCTTCCATGAATTTGTCCATTTTTTCCTCCTTTTTGTCTGCTTTTTGATTCAACTATTGGATAGTTCTGAGTATTAGAGATTTGAATTCCCTATCAGGTAGTTCTAGTGCCTTTTCTTCCACTGGAAAGTCATCTGGTGATTTATTTTGGATGCGTAGTGGAACCATCCTGTACTGTTTCTGTAAATGTTTTGATACTGTCTGCTGTCTTCGGGGCATTCAGCAGTTATTTTTCTCGTTTATTGATTGTAGATTTGTTTGTTTGAGCCTTTTTTTTTCATTTGGCTATGTCTGAGCAGGCGGGCTGTGTGTTCTTTGTTGTTTGCTGGTCTGTGGGCACGATACTTTTTCCTCCTTCTCCAGTTGGCAGGGTCAGTCGCTCAGATATGATACAGCAGGGCAGTTCTAGCTGAAGAGGAGTTGCTGGGATGGGTTGTTTATGGCATTTAATACAGCCACCAGGGCAGTTCGGTAATCAGTGCAGGGCAGGTTCCAGTAGGCCGTGCCTGTGCTGCTTGGTGGTGTGATGTTAAGTGCATGGTGCAGGTAGGCAGGATGGAGGGGGGAGATTGTGATGTGTGGAGCTAAGATGGGTATGGGAGAGAGGAGAGAGGAACAAGAGCCAAAAACATACAAACAAACAAAGAAGAGTTCTAGGGGAGCTTGTCGTTGGAGTGGAGAGATGAGAGTCTATGAAATGGAGAAAAAGAAAAAGGGGAAGAAGAAGAAAAAAGAAAAGAAAATAAAAGAATGAATAAATAAAAATAAGAAAGTGAAAAGAACAGGAAAGCTCCCAGGGATCCCACTGGTGCGGCTGTGAGTTCTGGGGAAGTTGTTCTCAGGTGTTGCAGTACAGCGTGGCTAGAAGTTGTAGAGGTATTCAGCGCCAGATATTCAGGGAACAGAAAGAGAAGGAAGGTATAGAGAGATGAGAAACTGAGTAATGAAGGAAGACAAAAAGGGAAAAAGAGGGAAAAGAAAAGAAAACAAATTTAAAGAGAAAAAAAAGAAGAAAAGATCCCCCCCAAAAAAAACCCACAAAAAAAGAAATGCTCTCAGGGATCTCTCTGCAAGTCTGCACAAGCTGAGGGGGTAGGTCCCAAGCTGCATAGCACTGCCCGGCCAGAACGGGCTCCCAGCTCGAGAAAAGCAAATGAAAACACACAAACAATTAAAAACAAACAAGCAAAAGTCCTGGGATCCCAGCAGCATGCCAGCCCAGACCGGGAAGCAGTTCTACACTTGAACGGAGCTCTGCAGCCCTTTAGGAAGAAGCAAATATGGCACATGGAGCCAGGTATTTGAGCGAAAGGAGGAGGTGGTGAGAGGTAAGGAAGAAATCATAGAAGCAGAAAAAAGCAACATGAGCAACCAACAAATGGCACTCAGGGAGCCAGCCAGTGCAGGCAGGTGGAATCCAAGCAGCTGGTGCTTCCCGACCAAGAGACTGTGGCTGCGGGAAGCAGAGGAGGCCGAGTCGGGGTGAAGAAGGGTGGGGGGTAGGAAAGCGTATATCGCAAATTACCGGTTGTTCTGTCTCCTGCTGGAAGCTTCGTGAAGCTGCTTTCTCGTACCCCCTATTTGCTGGTCTCTGATAGGAGTCCAAGATGGTGGATCTGCGCGGCACTAGTTGTTAGGGGACCTCTGTATGAATCTCTCCTTGCTCTCCATTGTCTGTCAGTTTTCTCACTCCATTTTGTGCTTGGCTGAGTTTATTTCTTCGTTTGATGTTTTAGGGTTTCAGGATTGCTGTTTTCTCTGTTTGGCTTCATTTTTCTGATCTTTGCTGTGGAGGGATGGCGTGGTGCTTGTGCCTAGAGTGCCATGTTGCCGGATGTCCTGAAAGTAGTATTTTATTTAAAGTAGAACATTTTTAAAAAAAAACTCATGTCTCTAGAATGCCCACAACATACTGTCATGTATATTTAAACTTAAAATGTTTAGACATAAATTTTGTTGTTAACAACAAAATGTTTATATCCCTAAAGAATCTTAAGTATTAATAAACAAAGTTCTCATGGAATACAAAATAAATAATAGAGATTGCTGGGTGAATTAAAGTAATGCTAAAAAATTTTAAAAAGTAGAAAAAATGGAAGACAGTTATTAATGGAGCTTATCTAGTGAATGGCAAGTATGTTGTTAGTTGCCATTGAGTCGATACTGACTTACGGCAACCACACAGAATCGCCATGGCAAGTGCCGGATGTATGAAATAGAACAGGCCATAAAGGAGGAGTGTTTGTAGGAGAGAGGAGGACGTGGGACTGCTTCACTGAAGAAAGAATTTGTGCAAGTTAGTCAAATTTATATTATTATTTACATTCTAATAAATGAATGCTTTATTTTCAGATTTTTCAGATTGGGATTCTACTAGTTTGACCCACAAGCTTTCCAGGGATTTGAAAGTTGATGATAAATGTCCATTTGTATCACAATCAATGACCAAAAGTCAGTCAGCATCCACAGAATTTGGAGAGATGACCTTAATAGATAAAGAAAAGATTAATATTGGAGCTGTGTTTCTATTAGGGAATTATCCTCTCCATGACCTGTGTGAATCACACCTACCAGAAAACAAAGAGAGCAAAGAAGGTAATAAAGAAGTATAGAGAATTCAATCACAGAGTACCTCTGCATGCCTTCACTCTAGTTCTGACTTTCAAAAATCATTTTGTGCAAAATTTACTTTCTGTTTACTCCCCTTAATGCAACTGAGCAATACTTTTAGCAAGGCATTTGCTTTCTTCCTCTTAACCAAAGCAGCAAATAAATAGCAAAGAGTATTTGGAGGAGGAGTAATTTCCCTTAGGCTAGTATTTAGCGTATACTTGAGAGTCGTTCACAGGATTAACTGTAGAACGTTGGGACTAGTGGGCAAACTAGCTAGAGATCCAAAGACTTCCCACTCAAACACAATATGGTTTCTTAACTTTATTTTTATAGGTCTGAATTTCTAAGTATTAGTTATAAATACAACAGTATTCAAATGTAACTAAAACAGCACATCCCAAAAACAAATATTAAATTATTTGCTATCATTTTATATATTTTAGAAGTGACTTTCCCAGCATTGGAGCCCTGGTGGTGCAGTGGTTAACAGGTAGCCTGCTCACCAAAGGGTTGACAGTTGGAATCCACCAGCTGCTTCTTAGGAACCCTCTGGGGCAATTCTGCTCCGTTCTGTAGGGTCACGATGAGTTGAAGTCGACTCAGTGGCACTGGGTTTCCCGGCATTAATGGGACTCATTGAGAATTTGCTATATAGTACCTACTTCTCAGCTGTGCCCACATAGTTCATCACCTTGTTTTGTCATTGTTTCTAATGAATAAACAAGCCCTGATGCTACAGAGGTTAAAAGCGCTCAGCTGCTAACTGAAAGACTGGCAGTCTGAACCCGCCCGCCGCTCCACGGGAGAAAAATGTGTCAGTCTGCTTCCATAAAGATTACCACCTTAGAAACCCTATGGAGAAGTTCTGCTCTGTCCTACAGGGTTGCTATGAGTCAGAATCAACTCGACAGCACATAATAGCAACAATGAATAAATAGTTCACGAGGATTATTAATTTAAAGGAATGCTGTGACATGTAAAAATAAAATATGGAAAATCAATTTTAATTCTACGAGTACATCCAGTTTATTGATTTACTGCATCAAATATGTTTTACTTTATGTAGTCAATGACCTTAATTTACCTACTCATATGATTAAGTCTGTAGTAGTAAATCATGAATATTTCTTTTACCCTGTAGTTTTATCATCCTTCTTTCCTTAACTGTAGAATTAGCATAGTACTTTACAGAAGATTCTCAGTTATCTCCTGGAGTAGTGACTGCAAGCTATAAATCCAGTTACTTACCTATACAAATGACTTATTTACTCGTATTTCTTCATACGCTTTTTAGAAACAAAAAGCAGGACTTTACAACAAAACACTTAAATGGCCTCCTTTAACCCAGGGAGATATGAAAGAAAAACTACAAAATAAACACGTGCAACTTAAAACAGTTCATGTCGATCAGGTCTTCAGTTCTGATACCTTTTGTAAAGTAACGAAGAGTCTAGTTCTGTAGGGACCCAGAATTTGTACACTTATTCATTTAATAAAGATGTATTCTGTACTAATAATTTTATATCCTAAATATTTCTGGAAACATCCCTTCGGTTCAGGCTTGTATCATCTTTATTTTGCACTGTTCCCTTCTAATTAAACGCCCTCCATTTATCCTGATGCTGTTCAGATTCACTCTCCCCACAGCATATAGAGTGATCTCTGACTTTCTTGATCTGCTGATGATGCCCTCCTCACCAGCCTCTATGTTTTAGACACAGACGTAGCCTATTGGATGTTTCTTACCCTGTGTTGCTACTGCCTTGCATGCTCTCACCCTTCCCTGCCCTCTACCCTTTTAATCTGGCTGACCTCACTGTTTCAGCGCAGGCATTATCTCTAGAAAGGCCACGCCTGACACCCTTTACCCACATTCTCCACCAAGTGGTTCCCTACTCTTTCTTAAACCCTGGTGCCCAACACTTAGCAGGAACTCAGTAAATAATTAATGAGTGAAATAAATAAAGGCTGTTTACACAGAGATGATTTAAAAGATTGTCCCCTACAATCTAGGAGCAAAAGGGACAGACATGTGAAGAAATAATTACAGTTCACAGAGGTAAAGATACAGTAGAGAAATCTGTAAAGTATTAATACAGCACCAAGGAAAGGGACACTTAATTTACCTGGAGAAAGATAGCTATGATCAGGAAGACTTCATCTAGTGCACCGAGTATTAAAAGATGCACAGAAATTTGTCAGAAAGACTAGTAGAGGAAAACATTTCATATAAAAAGAACATGGTGTACACTAATAGAGGTGTAAGAAGTAACAGTAATTTTGGAAACTGAATAATGTTGCAGTTGAGGCTTAGTGTTTAAAAAGTACTATTATGAGATAAAGAATGGTGTACAATATGGCTTTGTATGTTCCTACTGTATTTTTTTATTTTGTTTTTCATTGTTTTGTTCATTTACATTGGGTAGATGAATTTGTGAATGAATCTTGAGATATTTGTACCTCTTGAACCTGGTGACATCTTGTGTCTCCCCAAATGGTTTGTTGAGGTTTGGGATAATTGTAATTATTTCTGAAAGAATTAAATATTCAACTTAGGCTTAAGCTTTAATTCCCATGTAGTGAAATGTTACTTTGTATCTATTTTTATAAAGATTAAACTTTTATCTAACCATTCTAAATGTGTATTTTAACCAAATATATAGATTTGTCAGCAGAACTAGATTTAGAAATGACATCAGAGGAAGAGCGAGAAAGACTTGATGAACGTGAAAATAACCGGCCACAGGTACGTCAACATTTTAATCAAAGTTCCTGGTTTAATGCTGTTTTCTTTGCTTTGCTACCCAGCATAGTCTACATGAAATTACCTTTTGGACTAGCCTTTTAGAGTCTATAGATCATAAAATTTAATATTTAATTTTTAAAAACATTTAAAAAACTTAATGTTATAAAACTTAAAATATTCTTAGAGTCTCTAGTAACTTACAGCTTTACTTTAACTTTATCCTTGGAAATGAGGCAAAAAAAAATTACTGAATATTGTTAGCTTCTCTCATGTTTTATAACCTCTTTACATGATAAAGAAGGTAATTTCAGATATTGAATCATATGATGAAGAAGTTGTAATTATGAACACTATAGCAGTGATGGAGCTCTGGTGTCACAGTGGTTTAAGAGCTTGGCTGCTAACCAAAAGGTTGGCAGTTGGAATCCACCAGCTGCTTCTTGGAAACCCTATGGGGGAGTTCTGCTCTCTCCTATAGAGTCGCTACGAGTCGGAATCTACTCGATGGCAATGGGTTTTATAGCAGTTATAGCCACTGAGTTGGATTTGTATAAAAGGAGTAATTAGTTATTCTCAGTGATTCAGATTTTACAGTTTCATATTGCCAACCACTAATGCCAAGGCTAAAGATTTATTCTGCCTGTGGACTCTGTGTAATTGACTCAAAACTACATTCAGGAAGAGAGTGGGGTCATAAAATCAACCCAATTGCCTATTAAGAGAATCACATCTTCCAGAATGGGACATTTGGTGTTAGGGTACAAACAGTGACTTTCTAACTTATTCACCTCAGTGCTTTCCTTAGATTTCATTTTAGTATATGAAATCAAAACAAACCAAAAAAACCAAACCCGTTGCCATGGAGTTGATTCCGACTCATAGCAACCCTATATAAGACAGAGTAGAACTGCTCCGTAGGGTTTCCAGGGAGTGGCTGGTAGACTGAAACTGGGAGCTCTGGTGGTGCAGTGGTTAAGAGTTTGACTGCTAGCCAAAAGGTTGGCAGTTCGAATCCACCAGGTGCTTCTTGAAAACCCTATGGGGCAGTTCTACTCTGTCCTATAGGATCACTGTGCCAACTCAGTGGCAGCAGGTTTGGTTTTTTAATATGAATTCAGTAACTCCTATTTAAAAATTTTTTATCTACTCTCACTAGTGGACATTAGACTGTATTTGAACAGGACTCAAGCAGATAATCTTTATAGGTGCATAACACTATCATAGTATATAATTTGAATCAAAATTTAAAAATTTACTTTTCTTTCTGATTGATGTTAATTGAATGTGGTTCCTAATAATTTAAAGTTTTCCTACTCTCTAGTTACTAATCTGCTTAAAAAAAAAAACAAAAAAAAAAAACCTTAAATGCACTGTAGGGGCTTACTGTTTAAGGTCTGATGAGGTCAAACTTTTTTAAGTGAGGAAACATTCGTAATATTCAGAAATCATCTCTAGATTCATCTTTGGTACATTTACTATATAATGAATTAAGTTTAGTCCAAACAAACAGTGACAGAATTAAGTTTGCTGGCTAATGTTTTTCTCATATTTTAGTTTAAGGCAAGTTATTTTTCACTTCTTAATTACAAGTCAGTGATTTTGGAGTAACTAAACATAGATTAAAAAGTTTAATAGTGAAATTTTAATTATTTTCTAATTTTTCTTTGTCCATACTTGATTACTTAAGGATAGAATTATTTTAAAAACATGCACCCCGGCAGAAAAGACTTCTGAAAATCAAACCAAGCAGATTAATCTTCCATTTCCACTTTTGCATCTACCAAAAACGCCTCCAGAACCAGAAATGAATAAGGAGTGTGATAGAGAGGATATGTCTGTGTATTCAGGACTTGCTTGTGTGCAAAAGTATGAGGAAATGTGGATCAAACAAGGCAAATTAGAGTTGAAAAATAATTTAAAACTCATCACAAATGAGTTAAAGCAGAAGTTTGGTGAAATTTGTGCGAAATACAAAATTACTGCTTGTCCTGAGGAAGAGCCACTACACGACAACTCTAAAGAAGGAGCACACTTAAAGGAAATACCCTCTAATTTGACAGATAATATACTTGATTGTGAGGAAAAAGATGCATTTGGAGTGTCTGTCTCTGTAGTGTTCCAAGCATTTCCTGAACGAAGAGAACCTAGTCTCGAAAATGTCTTTCCATCTCATTTGCACTCTGGGTCCCAAGAGTATGCCTGCCAGTCATCTTCTAAGCTTTATTTAAATGATGATAAATTAGACTTTGAAAATGATAGTAAACCAGACACTGAACACATTTTTAACAAAAACAAGGAGAGTCTTTGTAATGATGCAGAAAGTGAACATGTAAGGAACCCAGAAGTAGTTACAGTTGAAATGAAAGAAGACCAAGACTTTGACATACAAATGACAAAAAATATAAACCAAAATACTACTAAATGGAAATTAGACATCAAAGATATGCCTCAGCCTAGTGATCCGAAAAGGCTTTTTGATTTGTGGCTTACCCGCTCCAGTGAAATGAAGCATATGATTCAAATAAAAAGTCACAGTCTTTCTGCTGTCACAAACACTTATGAGAAAACAAAACCAATACAAGACTTGTTCCAGAAGCCATATTATGATAATTGCAGTGCTAATAAGTATAAAAGCGTGGAACCTGAATTAGAAAATGGGAATTCTGCTGCACCAGATAGTGACGAAACATCAAAAGTATATCTAAATGAAGAATTACAGCAAGATACGCACAGGTTTAAGAATGATATAGGCGTGTTACAAGTAGAATTCCTGGCTTTGGAAAAAGAGAAAGTTCACCTTCAGAAAGAGGTAGAAGTCCATTTGCTGCTACTCTTTATTTTTTCTCTTTATCAATTATCTGATCCATTCTGATTTTTCACTTAAGAAAAGATTGTGTAGAAAATGGTGTTGTCTAAATATGCAGTTGTGATAGATTATTTCTGCCACCTAAATAAGAGTTCAGTAAAGCATTCTTATAATTTGTTTCTTAATCGAGCTAAGTCTCTCTATCAGACTTCCAAGTGGTGTCTGAACTGACAAACTAATGTAGCCATATACCATGTGACCTTCTGAACCAGGATAAACATAAAGGAAATTGCTAAAAAATGTAGAAAATCCTGTTTTTTGTTTTTTTATTTTTCATATTGGCTTAAAGAAAATTACATTTTCTTAAACAATAAAATGAGAAGGACGGAATAACTGAGAGAAGAGATATATAAAAATGTATCTAAGCTTGAGAAGTGCAACAAATATTCCCAGGTAGACTAACTTATTTAGCATTTGTGTGTACATAAGTATATCTGCTTTACCCAAACCCTTGGAACTTATAATTCCAAAATGATCACTTTGACATACTTTTTTTTTTTTTGAAGTCACTCTTTTAATTTGTAAGTACATAGGTATTCATTTCCTGATTTGATTTAATTTTCATGCCAACCCAGAGATACAGGATTTGTTGTTGTTCCCATTTTATAGATGAGCAATCCAAGGCTCAAAGAGATTTAATTATATAATTGCTCAAGGTCAAGCAGAGGGTCAGTTATAGCAGTGGAACTCAAACTCCAAGGTACTGCTTCTATATTTTACTGTCTTTTGATGAAAATCAGTGATATTTGCTTCTTTTGCCCTTTGAAGTTATCCGACCTCTTTCTGGAACAAAAAAAGGTCATTTTGGCAGGCATTGCAGCACAGCAATTAGGAGGAGCCTGGACATTAGCATAATGAGTGCTGACTCCTGATTTAACCAGCGCTGTGGTCTTGGGGAAGGAGCCCTGGTTGTGCAGTGGTTAAGCATTTGGCTGCTGACTGAAAGGTCAGCAGTTCGAACCCACCAGGCAGTCCACGGTGAAAGATGTGGCAGTCAGCTTCCTTAAAGATTACAGCCTTGGAAACCCCATGGGACAGTTCTACTCCATCCTCAAGGGTTGCAGTGAGTTGGAATTGACTCCAGGGCAATGGGTGTGGTCTTGGATATATCACCAATCCTCTGTGAGCTTCAGTTTCTGCATTTGTGAAGTGGAAAAAACAGCAATCATGCCTACCACTCAGGGTTATTGTAAGGTATAAGTGAATTAATATGTGCAAAGGGTGTGTCATAGTAATCTGGTGCATAAAAAAACACGTGCTGTTGAATCAGTTCCAACTCATGGCAATCCCATGTGTGTCAGAGCAGAACTGTGCTCCATAGGGCCTTCAATGGCTGATTTTTCTAAAGAATAGAGATTTATTTTCTAACAGTTCTGTAGGCTAGAAGTCCAAATTCAGCATGTCAGTCACATCGATTCCTTCCAGAGGCACTGAGACAGCAACTGTCCTTGCCTCTCTCCTAGTTTCCGGTGAGTTGCAGAAATCCTTGGCATTTCTTTTTCTTTTTTTTCTTTTTTTTTATTTTAATTGTGCTTTAAGTGAAAGTTTACAATTCAAGTTAGTTTCTCATACAAACATTTATACACAAGTTGTTATGCGACCCTATGCTGTGACAGCACACTCCTCCTTTCGATCCCGGATTTCCTGTGTCCATTCAACCAGCTCCTGACCCTCTCTGCCATCTCATCTCGCCTCTGGACGGGAGCTGCCCGTTTAGTCTCATGTATCTCTTTGAGCTAAGAAGCACGCTGTTCACGAGTATCTTTTTATGTCCCACAGTCCAGTCTAATCTTTGTCTGAAGAGCTGGCTTCAGAAATGGTTTTAGTTTCGGGCTAACAGAGTCCAGGGGCCATGTCTTCCGGGGTCCCTCCAGTCTCAGTTAACCATTAAGTCTGATCTTTTCACTAGAATTTAAGTTATACGCCCCACCTTTGTCCTGCTCTATCAGGGACTCTGTTGTGTTCCCTGTCGGGGCAGTCCTTGGTGGTAGCTGGGCAACATCTAGTTCTTCTGGTCTTGGACTGATGGAGTCTCTGGTTTATGTGGCCCTTTTTGTCTCTTGGGCTAATATGTTTCTTGTGTCTTTGGTGTTCTTCATTCTCCTTTACTCCAGGTGGGTTGGGACCAAATGATGTATCTTAGATGGCTGCTCGCCAGCTTTTAAGACCCTAGACACCACTAACCAAAGTAGGATGCAGAACATTTTCTTAATAAACTTTGTTATGGCACTTGACCTAGATGTCTCCTGAAAGCATGGTGCCCAGACCCCTACCCCTGCTACTCTGTCCCTCGAAGTATTTGGTTTTATTCAGGAAACTTCTTAGCTTTTGGTTTAGTCCAGTTGTGCTGACTTCCCCTGTAGTGTGTATTGTCCTTCCCTTCACCTAAGATAATTCTTGTTTACTATCTAGTTAGTGAATACCCCTCTCCCCACCCTCATAACCATCAAAGAATGTTTTCTTCTGTGTTTAATCCTTTTCTTGAGTTCTTACAGTAGTGATCTTATACAATATTTGTCCTTTTGTGACTGACTAAATTCACTTAGCATAATGCCTCCCAGATTCCTCCATGTTATAAAATGTTTTCACAGATTCATCATTGTTGTTTATCATTTGGTAGTATTCCATTATGCAAATATACCATAATTTTATTTATCCGTTCATCCATTGATGGACAGCTACGATGTTTCCATCTTTTTTGCTATCGTGAACAATGCTGCAATGAACGTGGGTGTGCATATATCTGTTTGTGTGATGGCTCTTATTTCTCTAGGATATATTCCAAGAAGTGGGATTGCTGGATCGTATAGTACTTCTATTTCTAGCTTTTCAAGGAAATGCCAAAGCCATTTCCAATGTGGTTGTGCCATTTTACATTCCAACCAGCGGTGTATAAGTGTTCCAGTCTCCCCACAACCTCTCCAACATTTATTATTTGGTGTTTTTTGGATTAATGCTAGCCTTGTTGGGGTGAGATGGTATCTCATTGTAGTTTTGATTTGCATTTCTCTAATGGCTAATGATTGTGAGCATTTCCTCATGTGTCTGTTAGCCACCTGAATGTCTTCTTTGGTGAAGTGCCTGTTCATACGCTTTGCCCATTCTTTAATTGAGTTATTTGTCTTTTTGTTGTTGAGGTTTTGCAGTATCTTGTAGATTTTAGAGATTAGACGCTGATCAGATTGGGTGTAGCCAAAAAATTTTCTCTCAGTCTTTAGGTTATCTTTTTACTCTTTTGGTGAAGTCTTTTGATGAGCATAAGTGTTTGATTTTTAGGAGCTCCCAGTTATCTAGTTTCTCTTCTGGTGTTTGTGCATTGTTACTTATGGTTTGTTTTCTGTTTATGCCATGTATTTGGGCTCCTTGCGTTGTCCCTATTTTTTTCTTCCATGATCTTTATCATTTTAGATTATATATTTAGGTCTTTGATGCATTTTGACTTAGTTTTTGCGCATATTGTGAGATGTGGGTCCTTTTTATTTTTTTTTCAGATGGATATCCAATTATGCCAGCACCATTTGTTAAAGAGACTATCTTTTCTCCAATTAACGAACTTTGGGACTTTGTCAAATATCAGCTGCTCATAGGTGGATGAATTTATGTCTGGATTCTCAATTCTGTTCCATTGGTCTGTGTATCCGTTGTTGTACCAGTACCAGGCTGTTCTGACTACCGTGGCAGTATAATAGGTTCTAAAATCAGATAATGTGAGGCCTCCCACCTTGTTCTTCTTCTTGAGTAATGCTTTACTCATCTGGGACCTCTTCCCTTTCCATATGAAGTTGGTGATTTGTCTCTCCATCTCAAAAAAAAAAAAAAATGCTGTTGGAATTTGGATCAGGATTGCATTGTATCTATACATCACTTTAGGTAGAATTGACATTTTCACAATGTTGAGTCTTCCTGTCCATGAGCAAGGTATGTTTTTCCACTTATGCAGGCCTCTTTTGGTTTCTTGCAGTAGTGTCTTGTAGTTTTCATTGTATAGCTCTTTTACGTCTTTGGTTAGATTTATTCCTAAGTATTTTATCTTCTTGGGGGCTATTGTAAATGGTATTGACTTGATGATTTCCTCTTCAAAGTTCTCTTGTTTGGTGTAGAGGAATCCAACTGATTTTTGTATGTTTATCTTGTATCCTGATACTTCGCCGAAGTCATCTAGTAGTTCCAGTAGTTTTCTTGTGGATTCTTTGGGGTTTTCTGTGTATAAGATCATATCATCTGCAAATAGAGATACTTTTACATCTTCCTTACCAATTTGAATGCCCTTTATTTCTTTTTTCTAGCCTAATTGCTCTGGCTAGCACCTTCAGCACAGTGTTGAGTAAGAGTGGTGCTAAAGGGCATCCTTGTCTGGTTCCCTTTCTCAGACTCTTTCCATTTAGGACTATGTTGATTTTTCGCTTTGTATTAATGCCCTTTATTATGCTGAGGAATTTCCCTTCTATTCCTATATTGTTGAGAGTTTTTATCATGAATGGGTGTTGAACCTTGTCAGATGCCTTTTCTGCATCGATTGATAAGATCATGTGGTTCTTGTCTTTTGTTTTATTTATGTGATAGATTACATTGTTTATTTTTCTGATGTTGAACCATGCCTGCATACCTGGTATAAATCCCACTTGATCATGATGAATTATTTTTTTGATACGTTGTTGAATTCTGTAGGCTAGAATTTTGTTGAGGATTTTTGCATCAATGTTCTTGAGGGATATTGGTCTGTAATTTTCTTTTTTAGTGGTGTCTCCCTGATTTTGGTATCAGGGTTATGCTGGCTTCATAGATGAGTTTGGGAGTATTCCATCCTTTTCGATGCTCTGAAATACCTTTAATAGTAGTGCTGTTAACTCTTCTCTGAAAGTTTGGTAGAATTCTCCAGTGAAACCATCAGGGCCAGGGCTTTTTTTAAATGGGAGTTTTTTAATTACCTTCTTAATCTCTTC